TTTACTTAACCCTCCAGGCCTTTTCATCCCTTCAATACATTGCCTCTAGTAAATCAATTGCTTTGAAAGAAGATTTCATGGATCAGCATATAATGAATCTTTGTTAGAACAGAAACAAGATTTGTGCTTACATTTAGGATAACTATGTGTTTTTCACTCCCTTGTTTAATGGACATGTAATGGTCTGATTCATGGTCCAGCTAAGTTGATGTCCTAGAGAAACATGTTCAAATACGGCTTTTCAGTATTAGGTTAGTAACCTTCACAGAGGAACCAAATGTCATAAGGAACCAAGTGTCACCTGTCCGAAGGTAGCAGACTGTCACTGATGACTTTTGAAGACCTTTCTAGGCCTGCTTAAGAGGTCCGCAGAAGTGATTGGTGTCCCCAGGTCAAGTGATAGAGTACAGTGTAAAGTGAACCCTGCAGTTTCCTTGTTCAACCTGCACAAAATGGCAAAGGAAAAAGTATCTCTCTCATATATCCATGACAACTATTCTGAATCTGGAAATGTGGAGAAGATCTCTTCAGACTTCATGTGTCTGTAAGATGTGATTACTCTGAACATGCCAGGTACACACCCAAACATTTTTAGAAGGTTTAAACCTTCAAGAAACTGTCGATGGAAATAAAATGCACATCCTAAAAGTTGAGAGTTATGTTTTATTCAGAGGACTTCCTGAGGACTTGAGCCCGGACACAGCCTCTCAGATCACTCCAAGACTGTTCCAAAGTGGCAAAGTAGAAGCCAGGATATATAGGAGTTTCTGCAACAAAGACCAGGTAGTAGGACCATCAAAAGACTGTCAATTGAAGAAAACCAGATATCTCAAGTGAAGCAATTTAGTGCTGTTCTATGTATGGAAAGGTTCAAAGGTCTGGGCTCATTGAAATCATTCCTTTGACATATACCTTAGCTATCTAGGGCCAGCATCCTGTTCTTCCACATCCTCAGTTCCCTCAGGGGGCACTACTGGGGTTGGCTGGAGAGGCCAGACTCCATGCTAAGTTCCTTCTGGTCACTGTCAGGGCTGGTGGTAGTTCCTGATGACTTGATGGCCAGAGCACCCTTTCTTTACTCATATGGCTGGCAATCTTTTTTATTCCTAGACTAATATTTCAGTGGACAGAGAAAAATAATATGCAAATACATATTTTTTTAAAAAAACAAGATAGGTGAAAAGGCCAAGATGGCACAGTAGAAGGGCACTCATAGCACATCCTCTCCCACAAATACACCATGCCTGACATCCATGGACCCACCCAGCCAATCAGAACACCTGCTGAACTTTGACAGAACATCGCCTTCTTCAAAAGACAAAATACGCCACGAATCTGGTAGGAGAAAAGGCAAAGAGAAGGAAGAAAAAGGAAAATAGTGTGGGACTGGTCCCGCAGGGAAGGAGCGGCAAAGGAGAAACAGCACTCAAGGATATTTAAGGAAGGACAAATCAGACATCCTTCTTTGCTAAAGTAAATCTCAGCAAAATGTAACCAGGACACCTAACTTGGAGCAATGATGTGATATCATGTGGTATTTTTCTTTCTCTGCCTGGCTTACTTCACTTAGTATGACAATCTCCAGGTCCATCCACATTGCTGTAAATGGTATTATTTTATTCATTTTTATGGCTGAATAGTATTCCATTGTACATACATCCCACAAAGAGAAAAAAATAAAAAAAGAACCAAACTTATCCCTGATTTACACCGGAAAGTCTCCAAGAGTACTTCAGAGGACTTTTCATAACCAGCACAGCTCTGGGCACATAACAGGCATTTAGTAAGTATTCCTGACAGGAGTGGTTCAGCTCTGATGCCCCTGGCAGGTTGCAATTCAAGTTCCCTGTGAATGTCACCAGGGCCCTATTGAAGGGAAACCAGAAGTGCTCGGGGAAAAGATGCTGGGAAATGTAGTCCAGCCTCGCCAAGAATACAAAACTGGTTCCAGTCTGTAGCCTCAAAGGTTAAGAAAGATCAGCTGAAGCTATTAGTCCTGGGGTTAGTAAATTACAACTCCAAGAAAATGTGGGCTCTTTCAGTAATTTACCAAGCCCAGGCACATCATGGATAAAGTCTGATTGGAAGGTTTTGTAAAGTTATTCCTTTGTTGGTAAAAGAAGAGAGCCATTGGAGGAAAGGGATTTGTTTGTTTGTTTCTTCCACCCCAGCTTTCTCCATTTCTCCCAGCCACTGCCTCCTGCCTTTGAAAGCTGTCATGCTGCGCATTCCTGCATTGACCACCTTACCGCCATAAAAACGACATGCCACATGCTGGGGTTGGCAGAGTAGAAAGAC